TAAAAAAAAAAAAAAATTTTCAAAGCTGAGTTTTTCTAATGATACCTGGTTCTTTTGTCTTATGTGTTTTGTGCTTTGGCCTCATCGCAGAAATCTGCAAATTTGCTTTTTTAGGGTAGATCAGGACCAGCTCTCCACCTAAAGAGGCCTTGGAGGAGATTTCCTGTAGGGTGATTGTGGTGGAAGAGCAGGAAGATCACATTATCTACTAGCTCTCAGTCTTAAGGTAGATCTAAACCTAGACCATCTAAAAGAGTTCATTTTTCTTTTATTGGAAAAGTAATATACATCCATTCTGTAAAATTTTAAAATGTATACAAAATCCATGAATGAAAGTATCTTGTAATTCCACCATTCAAAAAATCATAAGACAGGGGCCGGGCGCGGTGGCGCACGCCTGTCATCCTGAACTCTGGGAGGCCGAGGCGGGTGGATCGTTTGAGCTCAGGAGTTCGAGACCAGCCTGAGCAAGAGCGAGACCCCATCTCTACCAAAAATAGAAAGAAATTAATTGGACAGCTAAAAATACATAGAAAAAAATTAGCCAGGCATGGTGGCGCATGCCTGTAGTCCCAGCTACTTGGGAGGCTGAGGCAGGAGGATGGCTTGAGCCCAGGAGTTTGAGGTTGCTGTGAGCTGTGATGACGCCACGGCACTCTAGCCCAGGCAACACAGTGAGACTCTGTCTCAAAAAAAAAAAAAAAAAGAAAAATCATAAGACAGGGATATTTTAAATCTGCATTGGTAATCTTTTATATTTAATTATGTTGTCATGTTACCGTTGTGATACTCATCTCACAATTTGTCCATTCCTTTTATATTTACTTCAGGGGTTAGAGATCCATTTAAAAACAACTTTTAGATGCCTAAAGACAGTTACTAAGAGTAGGTCTATCTCAGTCAAATCTGGCTAAAGAGAAATTTTAAGTATGATGCTTTGCAAAAAGCATTCTCCTATGAGAAGATGCAGCTACCATTGTTCCACCATGTTGTGCTGTGTAAGTGTGTGTATAATGTTACTGGATTCACTTCACATGTTATAATGTACATCACTTTGCTAAGTGCAGTGGGATGGGAGGGCTGGGGCTGAAGTGTGGATAGAGCACATCTTAATACAGGGGCTATCTACATACTTACTATTGCTTCCTAAACTCTGGTGGTAAGCCCTGGAAGACTGAAGCAATATCTTTATCTTTCATTTTCCCTTGCACTTAGCATAGTCTAGCATAAACAATAGGTGCTTAATAAAACCAACTCTGGACCTTAAACGACATTTGGTTTGAATTGCTATGGCTGGTGGCAAGCACCAGAGGCCATTCCTCTAGATTGCTCACCTGGTCCAGGTGTCCTTGTTGTGGTAAAGTGGCTAATAAATTGTTAGTCCTAATTTTGTTGCTTTTTAGGGTCAATTTGGGGGATCTGTTAAAACCCCCCTCCACAAGGAAGTGTTTATTAGCTAGTATCAACATCATATGTTAGAGCTGAATTTAAAACCTGTCCCCGAAAAAGTAATAATTTATTCAGATCGTAATTAAAGCAAATAAACCAAATATCTAGTTACAAAGATTGTCAAATTCCGTAAAATGTGCTCTTTGAAGAAGAGGTTAATGTATATGCAAACCCATGGCACAGTCCCTAAAATCTAGTCTCATAGATTTAATGTGATCCTAAACTGAGTCCTTTGAAAATACTTTGTCTTTTCAGGGGTAAAGAATTATGACATTTATCTGGGTGCATTTATTTAATAGAAGAAAATTGTTTTAGAATGAGTATTCCAAAATACAGAGCAAAATTTCCTGTTAAGTTAAACATCCTCACTTTCCTGAAAAGTGATATATATAAGATGAAGATTTAAAAAGAAAACCTTGCTTACCAAGTGGATTGGTCATCGTGGACTGCAGGAGATGCTATTAATATGTGTTGCTGTTCTCAGCAAACTAAGCCTTAATCCCACATAATGGAGTAATTATATTCAGGGTGGGAAATGACACCTATGTAGGACCGAAGCAGAAAGTGCTGTCAGGAAGACACGATGGGAACATTTGACAAGGACCTAGCCAGCACAGGTGGTAGCTTTTGCACATGATAACCCAACAGATTATTGATGAGTCAGGTTGATGAGAAGGAACTTGTAGAAGGTGACTGCCCTGAATTGCAGTGAGAAGTCTTATGGTGGGGCCTGGTCTCATCTCTTATTTACCGCGTGGATGTAACTTCTTTGGGCTTTCATTTTCTTATCTGTATTAAAAAAGGGTTGGAGCAAATGATGGATCTCCTTCAGCTGTCAGTGCTATGATTTTTGTTGTTGCTATTGGCTATGGTGGTGTTTTCTAATGTTATGATTTAAAATACATGAGTTCAAATATTGCCTTTTATTCTTAACTTTTGTATAAACCCAAAGTTGGAGAAAATAATTTTTAAACCAAATACCATACATTGTAGAAAAAAGTTTAGTTCTATTGTTTTTGAGCATAGAATATCATTAATAAGTTCATTGTTTTTATTGATATTTTATATAGTCTATATTTTGTAAACTCCTTAAATATCAATAAGTATGCATGTGATATGTCATATTAAATATATTAATGTTGATCCAGAAAAATATGTTTGAGATTAACTATCTACTACAACAAATAGAAGCCTTTCATGTTAATATTTGGTAGGTATAATATTATTCTACCTTTATTGGTTTCTGCATGCCACAAAATGACAAAAACATTTTGGCTTTTTAGAGACATTAAATGTAGATCAAGTACTGGATCAATAAATAAAAGGAAAGCATGTGCTATGTTACTTTATACCTCTTAGGAAACACAATTACAGGTGCAAGATTGTTCTATTTGCTGGAATAATTAAAATGTATTTGGAAGTGATGCAGAAACATGGCACTGTGTAGAATAACCTCTCCTATCTTCTTTAGAGAGTAGTTCGCATTGATCAGTCTATCTTCTGCAATCCTTGCTGCACATAAATATAATTTAGCAAAGGGCAACTTATTCCATTGAAATCATTTTTTTCTTTTCTTTTTAAAACTTAATCTTAGATGGCTTTTTTATGCTAGTATGGTCATTGCTTTCAATTCGAAATGAAATGCTAGGTGCTGTGGCTTATTCCTGTAATCCCAGCACTTTTGGAGGCCAAGGAGAGAGGATCGCTTGAGGCCAAGAGTTTGAGATCAGCGTGGGCAACATAGTGAGACTCTCATCCCTACAAGAATTTTAAAAAAATTAGCTGGGTGTAGTGATGAGTGCCTATAGTTCCAGCCACTTTGGAGGCCGAGGTAGGTGGATCACTTGAGCATAGAAATTTGAAGTTACAGTGATCTATGATAGGGCCACTGTGCTCCAGCTTGGGTGACAGAGTGAGACACTCTAATAAATTATCATGTACTTAACAAGTGATTCCATTGAAGAATACAAGACTGAGGTTAAAATAAGTTAAGAAAGGTAGAGGAAGGGCAAGAGCTTCAGATGTAGACTCAGAGGCTCATATCATACATGCTTGAGTCAGACTGGCTGTGTGGTTATTGTTCGAAGTTGCACCGATCTCTGAGACCTCTAAGAAGTGTGCTAATAGTCATAATCATGCTGGGGTTATGACAAAATGACACATCTTAAAGTTGTATTTCAGACATTGGAATTGGGCTCACTAACATTAAAATCTCAGCTTCAGCTTCGTGCATTCGGAATTGCATGAGATCAACTTTGGGTTACTGAAATTTTATTTCCAACTGTGAATAAAGCAGGAAATCCTTGAATAAAGCCTCCTCCTTATCACGAGTAAACTAAGTTTTACATATTCAGGTTTATCGAGGCAAGTGACTTATTGAAGTGCTTTTCAAAAATTTGTTTGGCTCACTAGCAAATTGACTTTACTATGAATGTGAAAGAATCATCTCTCTTCTGTTTGATAGTTTTTGAACAGAAAATGAAATTTAAAGGGCTGCTCAGCTGAACAATTTTAGACAAACTTGTCAATTCAGTTTAACTCCTATCTTGCACCTTTGGGACTTTTGAAAGTTGTTAATGTTAATCATACCTTCCTTTAAATCTTTTAATTATTTCAAGAAAAAGGAAAGCTGTAGCTTATTTTGTGGGGCATTTCTGTCATTGACTTCCTCTATAAGAATGTAGCTGACAACTTTTGAAATCTTGACTTTATTTCATGCTTGGAGTTGCAGAGAAGACTTTGCTTCTGACGCAATAATTTAAAACTCACATGGAAGCTCTCAATGTTGTCATCTTTTCCACATGCACCGTGTTACACTCTCAGTTGTTTACTACTTGCAAGCTATGATAAAGCTCCAGAAAGAATGAAGGCTCAGCAATGTAGGGCCTATTGAATGAAGCCTAACATTGAAACATCTTAATTCTTGAAAATAATTAGTATATTTCTCCCTAAGTTTCAGCTGCCATACCAGGCTTTAGGTGAGGGATCAGGCTGTGGAGGTATTTGCATAGTGTCAACATTTCATGATCTGATATCACAGGCTGAAACCAACGTTGCTAAGGTCTGACCTTGCCTACGTTTAAATTCTGAAGCAGGGACTCCCGAGTAATTGCAAGGTGCAGCTAAAGTTGGGTCAAATGATTGGAGGTCTAGTATAAGCTAAGTGGCACCCCGCACTTTGTTGCAGATGCAGTCTGCATGCATGCTGCCTCAGATCACTTCTGCAAATCTAGCTTGGCCTACTGATTGGGAACCTGGGATTGTTACTAAAGCTCACGTACAATCTGATTTGTTATATGCATGAGTGGGGTTGAGTTTTATTATCTGTTTGTACCTGGCCTGACAAGATGATGACCAGTACACAGAATTGTGTGGGCCTTGCAGTCTATGGAAATATTAATAGCTTTGTGGTGGTGAGTTTTGGTGGTGGTTTTGACCTGCAGTCACTATTTAGTTGCATGTAAAGAATAATGTCCATTTTTTTTAAGTGCATGTGCCTATGCTAAGAAAATAATCTGTCACTTTATAGAAGTTTCTCTTTTTATTTGCAGATATAATACTTTGCCAAGGAGAAGAACCCTGAAAAATTCAAGATTAGTGAGTAAGAAAGATGACATACATGTCTGTATCATGTGTTTACGTGCCATCATGAATTATCAGGTATGTTGGTGCTTCTGGTTCTTTAAAAAAGATCTGAATTAGGTTCAGATCTTGTTCTTTGGTTTCTTCGTATTATTTCTAGTCAAAGTAAATAAGAAGGATTCAGTGAAATTCTATTGAAAAAGGCCTGGTTCATTCTAATGCTCAAGATTTAATTCATTGTCCTCATTTTCATTAATATTTATAATTTATAATGTATTTAATACATTGACTGCCACGCTAGAAAAAAATTTTTTTCCTTGAGGGCACAGTGTTTTATTACAAAAATAGAATAAAAACTTGGAAAACAAAATGATCCTAATTTAATGAAACATTTGTTATTTTTTACTGTTTTCTATGCATGAATGATGTGCAACTTAGAAAATAGTTCACACAGCTCCCAAGGTGAAGAGATGTGTGAGTTACATATGCTTCACGAGGCCCTGGGCTCAAAACTAGCATGAGTTATATACAACTCACATGGGAGTTAATGTGCTAAAGGAAAGACATTTTCCTCCTACAGTAATAAACTTGCCTAAATTGCTTGGTGAATGTTCGTGACCACTAAAGACCAAGTAAGCTGTTAGTTGTGGGCAATAATGGAAGAGCTTTGAAACACTAGGAAGAAGTAGACTGACACACTTGGTAGGTCAGTGGTTCTCAAAGTGTTATTTGCTGAACAGGCAAGAAGTTATAATTGTCTGTCGGACTCAGTGGTTTCTCATCTTTATCAAAAGTACCTGGAGGATTGTTAAAAGTGCAGGTGATTGTGAATGCAGGGAGACCCCACTCTGAGAAACACTGGGAGAAACAGTATAGCATGTGGGTTGGGTTAATCCTAATGACAAAGTGGAAATGAGAGCCTGGAATATTTAGGGTGAACTGGCAGATTCATAGGTATAGTTAGATAAGCAAACCAGGGTTATAGGAGTTCTGTTTAGAAAAACAGAATTCAGATAAAAAAATAGGGTTTGATTTCCATTGCTATGGATGCTCCAGGTGGGTCCAAATAGAAATGGAAAATAAATACATAAGCAGAGGGTTGTTGTTAGAGTTCAAACCCAACATAGGGTGCTGAATTGAATTTAAGAAGAAAAACATACATTTATTCTTTCCCTCAGTCAGTTAATATTTTTTGAGCTTTGCCAGATGGATCTTGTTCTAGGCACTGAAAATACGGCGTTGAATAAATAAGTGTCCCAGGGAACTTACTTTCCAGGGATGGGAGACAGATGACAAATAAATTGGTAAAATATGTAGTATTCTAGATAATTATGATGACATGAAGAAAGCAGACACATGGTACATTTTACAGGTCCAGTACCTTTAGATCTCTTAAGTCATGTAAACCTCATGACAGCCCCGTGAGGTCAGTAATATTATTCTCCATGTTTTACTGGTGAGGAAACTGAGACACAGAGAAGTTCAGTAATTTGCCTAAAGTCACATAGCTAGTAAGTAGTAGAGTCGAGATTTGAACCCAGGAAACCATTACTAAGTACTATAGAAAAAAATAATCAGGAGATGAATAGGAAGGGCCAAAAATGTGTATGCAGTTTTAAATTCTCTAGCAAGGTAAGTGCACTGAGAAGATAATGTTTAGTAACAACTTGAATGAGGGAACAAGGGAAGGAATATCAGAGAAGGAAGATTCTAGGTAGATAGAAGGGCAAGAGCAAAGGCCCTGAGGCAGGAGTAAGTCCGATTTGCCCAAAGCACAGAAGGGAGGCCAGGTTGAGGCCAGATCAGAATGAGTGAGAGGGAGAAACTTGGAAGGTGAAGTCAGCAGTATCACAGCATCCTGATTATGTAGGGCTTTGTAGACCAGTGAAAGGACATTGACTTACTATGAATGGGAAACTATTGAATGGCTCTGAGGGCATGATCTGACAGTCTTGCATTTAATGTCATCACTGGCTTCTCTATGTAGAGTTACCTTGGGAGGGGCAAAGACAAGAGGAGGTAGACCATCCTGGAGGCTGTTGGTAGTAATTTAGGTGAGTGAGTGTTCATGGTAGTATGGACTAGGATTATAGGAGTATAGATGATGAGAGGTGGTTGGATGCTGGTTTTATATTGATGGTGAAGGCAACAGCATTGAAGATGAGGACGACAGTGAGGAGTGGAAGGTGGTACCAAGGTTTTTGTCCTGGGCCACCGGTAAGATCTATTGAGATCGGGAAGACTATGGGATGTGCAGATTTGAAGGAGATGATTAGAAATTTCTTTTGGGGGATTTTAACTTTGAGATGTCGATGAGACATACAAATAGTGATCTTAAGTGGGTGGTTGGATGTGCTGGTGTGGATTTCAAGAAGAATGGACTGGAGATATAAATTTGGAGTAATTAGCAGGTGGATGGTATAGAAAGCCAGGAGGGAGGGTGAGATCAACAGGGAAAGACAGAGAAGTAAAGAGGTCCAGAATATGAACCCTGGGGCACTGTGTGTAAATGTCAGAGAGATGAGGAAAAGCTAGCTAGCGAGTCTGAGAGGTAGCCAGGAAGGCAGGAGCCAAGAGAAGGAACTCTTTCAAGGAGAAGGCAGTGTTCAATTCTGTCAAGTGCTGCTGCTAAAGCTTGTAAGATGAGGAGTGAGAATTGGCCATTGGCTTTAGCAAAGTGCAGACCACTGGTGATCTTGGCAAGAACAGTTTCGTTGGAGTGGGGATGAGGTGCCTGATGGAGTAGATTCAGGAGCACACAGGAGAGGAATCAGACTGGGAGTGTTTGGGGCAGTTTTGCTGTAAAGGATAGCAGAGAAATGAGAGGCAGTAGCTGGACACAGGTTGTGGTGTCTAGAGAGATTTCTATTGTTGTTATTTAAGATAAGAGAATTTTTATCATATTTGTATGCTAATGGTAATGAATCAGACCAGGAAAAATGAGGGGGATGGATGAAGAAATTTCTGGAACATATGATGCTCTTGAGGGGAAATGGAATGGGATCAAGGACTCAAGTGGAGTCATTGGCCTTAGATTGGAGTGCATGGAAGGGTTGTTTTTAGGAAGAGGTGAGGAAGCCACAGTTCTGTGAGTGTGGATTGATAATGGTAGTGGGAGCTTGTGGAAATTTTTTCCTGATTGCTTATATTTTCTCAGTATAAGAGGAAATGTGGTCATGGGCTGAGAGTAAGTTTGGAGGAGAAAGAATACAGTAGACCCTTGAGTGACACAGGGGTTAGGGACACTAACCCTGGTGCAGTCAAAAATTTGTGTATACCCTTTGACGCCCCAGAAACTTAACCACTAATAGCCTACTGTTGACCAAAAGCCTTACCAATTACATAAAAATCAATGAACACACATTTTTATATATAGGTATTATATACTATATTCTTACAATAAAAGTAAGCTAGAGAAAAAATGTTATTAGAAAATCATGAGAGAAAATATATTTACTATTCATTAAGTGGGAGTGGCTTGTCATAAAGGTCTTCATCCTCATCACCTTCATGTTTAGTAGGCTCAGGAGGAAGACGACGGGTTGTCTTGCTGTCTCAGGTGTGGCAAAGGTGGATCAAATCCACATATAAGGGGAGCTGCACAGTTCAAACCCGTGTTGTTCAAGGGTCAGCTGTGCTTCCTCAACTCAGCAGAATTAAGAATGATTCCTGAGCCTGTTGTACTTACTTCATTGTATAGAAGGGTGAGGTCGCAAGCCTCAGAGCAAGGCAGATTTTCCTAGGCTCTTGGTCCTGATAGCTGTTGCCCAGACAAGGGATTAGAAGCAGTGGTTTCAATCCTGGCTGCACAGTGGAGTCACCTGGAAGCTTAAAAAAAATTCAGACGCCAGGGTTTCATTACTGAGACTCAGAATAAATCTGGGGTGAGTCTTGGAGAATTGGTGCTTTATTTGGTTTAGTCTTCCAGGTGATTTTAATGAGCAGTCAAGATTGAGAATCTCTGGGCTAGAGCCTTTTTACCATTTTAATAAAGAGAAACATGTAGTTCATTCCTAAAGAATGGGAAGGAAAACGATCCTTTGATAATAGTATCATTCCTGAATTTTTCTTTTTAAGAGATGGGTGTCTCGTTATGATCCCCGGGCTGGGCTCAAACTCCTGAGCTCAGGTGATCCTCCTGCCTTGGCCTCCCCAGCAGCTGGGACTATAGGCATGTGCCACCATGCCCGCGTTCCTGAAATTTATGATAGAAAAATATGTTCTGACACTGATGTACTATAAACATAAATGCATTTATGGTGGTATAAGTTACATTAGGTGGAAATTTCAGGTTTTTGTTTTTTAATCAACATTGACAGTCTCCTAACTTGTCTTCTAATGCTTTGGTTTTTTTCCATGTTAATTTCAGTATGGTTTCAACATGGTCATGTCTCATCCGCATGCTGTCAATGAGATTGCCCTAAGCTTGAACAATAAGAATCCCAGGTAAGTGTCCTTTGTCATGTACAAGTCTAAATCTAGGGAAAGCAGAGAGCTAGTCAACACTTAGCCACGTTTGACTTTGGAAACTTTCAAGTGTGACTGTCTGAAATAAGATCGGCTGTGTAGAATTTTTCCTTTGAGCCAAGTTATGTTCTTACATGGTGCAAAGTTGGGCAGCTGGTGACAACTCTGCCCTTCACTGTTCTCCTTAAGCTTTCATTCTGTTGAGGCCTGGTTGTCAGCATCCTTAGTGCTAAATTTGGGGGAGAGGATCAGATTGCCAGGACTCAGGTGCCAGGAGAGGTTTTCTTTCTTTGAGATGGGGTCTCACTCTGTCACCCTGGCTAAAATGCAGTGGTGTCATCATGGCTCACTGCAACCTCCAACTCCTGGGCTCAAGCGATCCTTTTGCCTCAGCCTCCCGAGTAGCTGGGACTACAGGCACATGCCGCCACGCCCGGCTAATTTTTCTAGTTTTTTTGTAGAGATGAGGAGTCTTGCTCTTGCTCAGGCTGATCTCGAAATCCTGACCTCAGGCAGTCCTTCTGCCTCGGCCTCCCAGAGTGCTAGGATTACAGGTGTGAGCCACCACGCCCAGCCTGCCAGGAGAATCTTGGTAATGATTTAACTACACCAGTTATTGCTGAAAGTTAACTAAAACCACCATCCCTCGGCCACACTTTACTTGCTACCTTTACTTATGTAGCTTTAATTACCAAACAAAAAAGAAAAAGAATTATGTATGCAGATTGCTTTTTCTATTCACTTTCTATAAAGGCTAGCACTATATATTATTCATATCACAAATTAGCTCTAGAAACCTGTCTTCGGTATTCTGCATTTCATTTTTTTTTGTTTTTGAAACAGGGAGACAGGTCTTGCTCTGTTGCCCCAGCTAGATTGCAGTGATGTGATCATAGCTCACTGCAGCTTCAAACTCCCAGGCTCAAGTGATCCTCCTGCCACAGCGAGGACTACACGTGCATGCCCCTATGCCTGGCTAATTTTCTTATTTTTTTGTGGAGACAGTCTCACTATGCTGCCCAGGCTGGTCTCAAACTTCTGGCCTTAAGGGCTCCTCCCACCTTGGCCTCCCAAAGTGCCGAGATTACAGGGAGGAGCCACTGTGCCCGGCCTATTCTGCATTTCAAATGTGTAATTCCTTTTCATCAGACATCTCTCTAGACTGAATATCTGAAAACTGTTAATTCAACTCAAAAACCTGATTATAAATTAGAACTTTCTGATTCAGAATGCAGTGCAAACTGTAAAGTTCTATTTAAATATTGAATATTATTCTTTCAAACTTAAACCTTTTGTGACTTTGCAATTGCTTCCTTAATTTACTGGCACCCTAAGTAGTCCTGCTTCTGTGTCCCTGCCTTCCACCACAGAGAAGTCATTATTCGTTTTTCTTAAGACAATTGACATTGTGAAGTATCAGAACAGTCTTTGTTTAGAGGTTGGCAATAATTTTATTCCAGAATAAAGATGAAATACTAAAGTGATCTTATGATGAAGAAACAGTGCTGTTTCTTTCTTGACATTGCATTTGAAAACTTAGAATGTATCTCTAGGTTCTCCCACCAAAAATATTTCAGATGGAGTTTTATTTTCTTGAGTCAGAGAAAATATTCTTGTATTCGTGAAGCTGTAATTCAGCTCCTTCCGGATCTTCTACCTGCAGAGGTAGAAGAAATGACAGAAACTTACTCTGTCATGGGAAATTTCTGTGTCTTCTTCCCCAAATGAGCAGATTTGAAAATACAGAACATTAATTTCAGTCGATTTTTAATGTTTTCTGCAAGTGTTATACCTGTCTCTAAAATTAGAGAAAATATTTAACCAGTAGTTTGGTTTTCAGTATATTCCCAAGTTTCCTGTTGCTCTCAGCTCCCCAGTAAACACTGTTCAACCACATTGTACTGAGTGACCTGATGATGGGGCTGAGAGACTGCTCTTCCCGGAGTTAGTTCTCATTAGTGAGTAATGAGTAGTTTTGGAAGTGGGAAACATGCCTTCCAAATTTTCTGTGTTAGACAAATCACGTATTTAGCAGCCAGTAAAGGTTCAAAAATATACCTTGATATAACTGTACCTTAGTAATAAAGTTTAGAAAAAAAATACAAGGGCAAATATTTTATTCTCATATCTATCTTGGAAGGAAGGAACAGCTGACTCATCATGTCGTTTTCACTGATTTGTGTTTTTCTTTTTTCTTGTTTTGACAGAACAAAAGCCCTTGTTTTAGAACTGTTGGCAGCAGTTTGTCTTGTCAGAGGCGGGCATGAAATCATTTTATCAGCATTCGATAACTTTAAGGAGGTAGGATACGCTGCAGTTTTACTAAGACTGCTCACACAAACATCTTACTTGGACATCTTTGTAAAGAATGATTTACCTTTTCATTTATTCTGTGGTATAAGGAGTATAATAGTTAATTTTCTAAGATGTTACTGAGAGGAAAGTAATAAACTTAGTCTAAATATCTTAAATGCATGGATTAAGCTTTCTTTTGGTGTGTCATTTCCAGGATAAGTTAAAAATATTTGCAGTACTCATTTTCTTTTGGAGAACATGGAATAGCCAGTTTGAAAACAAGTTTTGTTACAAATGTGGCTTTTATTAGGGTTGATACTTGATCACCCACCATGTAAATTTTTATGGACTCTTTCATCATAGTTATTTTCCTCAAATCATATTTATTATTGCTTTGCTGGATGCTATGAAAAACCTGTCAGACAAATACAGACACTGATTTTAGGAGTTTGTAATCTTAGCTAAGTCGTCCTGTCAAACAATAAAGCAGTGGACATGTGTGGTTGGAATGGAGACTGACTGAGTACAAAAAAGGGAACAATGACACAGAGATAATATGGCACCAGAGATGCTGCCCAAAGTATCGAAACATCACGACCAAGGTAGTAGCTGGTTTCCCTTAAGGGTAGTGGCCAAGAAGAAAGAGTGCCTGTTGCTTCCTTTAATGTATTCCTAATGTATGAGGCTACTTTGAGGTGGGAAATCACAAAAGTAGTCCTTGGAGAACATTGAGGGCACTTGGAGCCCCAGGTCACAGTCGGCCCCTCAGTCAAGCTGCGTATTATCCTGGCAGTCCCATTGAATTTCAAATGCTTCTGGATGAAGACCCAAACTGGATCTCAGAGGGGCTTCCAAGCTCTCTCTCATCCTTCCTGAAAGCCTCTGGAGTAGAACGCCGATGGAACTTGTTGAGCATATGCTGAATGGCAGGGTTGTTCCTGCTACACATGTGGAATCCTTTGGTTCTATAACATCTCGAGACAAGTATTAATATTAATATCTCCATTTTAAAGAAGACTAAACTAAAATTCAAACACATGGTTTACCCACAGTCATGTAGCTAGATAAGTGGCAGAACCAGGATCAGGATTTGGTGTTCCTGATCCTGAACTGTGAAACTGTGTGGTTTGGGCCCAGTTGTGTGTGAATCTCCTGAGGGAAATAAGGAAAATACTGAATTTGACGGGACTCCAGAGCCATTTCCCCTGCCCGCTGCCCCCCTCCGTTGGACTCACTGCCCCAGCTGCCCAGGGCACTAACGAGCCGCGCACAGACAGGGAAGCCTCAAGGTGTGATCAGAGCAGATGCTCCTCTCGCTCCTTCATTTGCCTTACCTCCCTCCACCAGTCAGGCCTTTCATATTGTTGCTAGTGTTCATTTTGTTCATGCCAACTGTGGAGAGAACCAAATATTATCTTTTTACTATTCAGCCCTAGAGATAGTGAAAAAAAAATCCAGATTCTAAGAGAATGAAGAATAATAATCTTTAGATTCATATCCTAGCTTCCAAAACAAATAGTCTTTAGAGACAAGAATGTACGAATGCTTGTCTGTGAATGTTTTTATATATCGTGTATAAATATATAAATTTTACATTTATAAACAAGGAGGTATGTTTGAGTGGATGGGTTTAATATAAAAGGAAAACGGCATGAGCTGCAAATATAACTCCCAGATCTTTGTCATCGGATCATATTTGAAAATATTGTGTGCCAGGTCTTTTCCACCCTGGAAGCGTTTATTATACAGTTTTCAGTGGCCCTTGTTATAATATGGCTTATATCATAACAGGCATTTGACTATACTGCTGGTCAAATTATGTCCCAGAGATAAAATTGTGTAGAATCATGAGATGAATATTAATTTTGTTTTCTCTTAGATGAGATAGAGTACCTTTCTCGTGCATAATAGACACACAAATACTTGCAGAATTGAGTTTTAGCTCTCTGGCGTCAGAATTATATATGGTTTGGCCATTTAGGGCGTAATATGTGCTTAGTGGAAGAAAAAAGTAATCCTACTAGATATAAAAGCTGCCAGTGGTAATGGGAACCAAATTACTTTTGAGTTTGAATTTTTAGAGCTTTAATCCAAACTGCCTCATTTCTGTAATTGCTTATGAGAGATGGTGGGTGTTTGGGTTCGGTTTCTCCCTGGCACAGGCATTTGTGTGTGAGAGAAACCATGTAGACAGACCAAGCAAAGGGATTATCCTAATAGCCATGTGCGTGAGGGCAAGGCCAGGAACATGCCCCTAAGAGGCTTTGTTCTTATGGACGGGTCAAAAAGCTCAACCTCTCTTTATCCAGTCTTGGGATGGAAAAAGTGTTACTCTGTGTTGATCTTGTTTTTAAAAAATATAATGCCCCTCACAGCTCATAGTTTTTTTAAATCCCTTTCTCTTCTCTTTTTCTCTCATCTTCATGTGAGCGGGTTTTTTTTCCCCCTTATACGTCATAGTAAAAGATGTATTCTTTAATCTTTTTAGCTAAAATGTCATTGGAATCTTCTGGTTTTAGGGAGGTCTGGAGCCAGCTTTTAGATGTCCGTATATTCTGGTAGCCTGTGTAGACAGGGCTTGGTCAGTGAGTAATACCGATGGAGCCACATGTGGCAGGGAGAGTGCCACACTGGGTATCGGGATACCAGGGAGCAGGACCAGAGAAGAGTCTGTGCCTTCAAGAAGATTGTTTTTGAAGTTTTTTATCCTTGTTAGTAAATTGAGATTCCATTCATCTCCCTAAGAAGGATGAAGGGATTAGCCCTGTTTTTATTGGCAGGAATGAGGGGGGGTGGTGTAGGGGAATTCAGCATCTATTTTTTTGCAAATAAAGTCATACGCTTTAGAGTAGCCAGACTTTGGGCTTTGATCATTGTCAGAGCATAGTTGAGCATACTGCTGCAAAGTGGCACCAGCTGCTGGAAGGAAATTTAAAGACCCCATATCTTACGTAGTGTATGTAGCAGGATTGTTTTCCCCTCTGCCTCTTGAGCCAACAAATCCATTCTAATTTGACTACCACTAATTAATGAATTTAGATGTAAATTAAAAGAAGGTATCTTTTGGCTCTTGATAGATTTTTTAATGTATGATTACGTCATTTTCTCACCTTTCAAGTTAATATTTAGAATCCCAACATGTTCAGTTTTCTATGAGTCTTGTAATATCTGAAGTACATGTTTTAGGAAAAGAGGGAGCACCTCCAATTTAATGGTATCTGTTGGTGGGAAGAATGTTATCCCAAGGCCTTGCTCACGGTGGGGTTGGAGTTGGGCCCTAGGCTTGATGTCACTGAGCAAGCACATTTATGACCTCAATATATATGAGGATAAGTGAATATTAATTACATAAATTTGAGATGGTAAGCTTATACCATGTTGGTTTGTGACATGCCTAAGAATATGTATGTAATTGAGTAGATGAAGACTAAATCATTAACAGTCAACCACTATGCATCTTGAATTTTTTTTTCTTAAAAGAATACTTTTTTTTAAATGAAGGGAATATTAACACATCTTGTTTTGGTGTTGAAACATCTCTTTATGAATATGTATGGTCTTGAAATGAGGACCACGATGAGAACAAAGAGTCATCTGTTTTATTGGCTAATTTAGCCACATGGAAGGACATATGACCATCTTCCCTAAATTGATTCTTTCTTAGTTGCGTGGCAATATGTTTTTGAGCACTGGGTCTAGCAGACAGAAAAAAATGTACATTTGGAAATAAAGGTTACCCTTTTAGTATTTGTATTAGTTTAGGGTCTTGTTTGCAAGAAGCAGTAACTGACCCTAACACACAGAGAAGAGGGTTGATTGAAAGGATGTTGAGAAACACAGACTTGACAAGGAGCCTGGAGAACAGGCTTGGAAAATGGGCAGCCATTTCTAGAATGTGGCTAAACTCTGGCCATGCCCTTGAAGCTGAGCGACCATAAACACTCTTTGGGGTTCTGCTCTTGCTTTTTCTTCTCTCCAAAATGACATGGACCGTAGCTAGCAATCTGCTGGCTCATAAAACTACACCTACTGGTTAAAGACCTCAACTAGCCCCCTCTTCAGATTTATAAACTCTGTCTTAAATCTGATTTCTCATAGGACCTTGAGGTCTGCAACCTAGACCTTGCTCTTCTCAACTTTTTCTTAGTCTTCCTACTTTTTCCATTATATTCTTTGATGTATTTGAGAAATTGGCTTACTTTAAAAAAGTGTCTCTGAAAGTTTGGCAAAACATGCTTCCTTTTGAAATCAGAGAGGGAAAGTATTGAGGCCCTGTAGACTCTGTGATGGAGCAGCCTACTATGTATGACACAAGTAATGAAACCCTCTGAGGGCTTTGAGCCACCAGCTCTCCCAGGCTGCTGGGAGTTGCACCTGGAATTCATCAGAATTTCAGATCGATTATAACTGTGTTCTCATCTACTTCCATAATGACAGCATCTGGCTTTAGCAAAAAAGCCTGATTTGGTTATTAAAGGCCCATCTCCCTCCCACTGTTGACCTTCCAGTAGATAGACGGAGCCTGTGCAGTGAGTCACCCAAGGCCACCAGCTCTTGTGTACACAGTACTCTTGGCAGTAGCTGTTCTTTTTTCCGCCTGTTGCTAGAAGGCTTCCTAAGAAAGCTGATGTGTGGTTTAGCTACCAGGCATCTGAAAGCACTCGTGCTACACATTATTAAGTTGATTTAAGAAAGCCTGTCAAGTTTTATTTATAGTGGACCAAATTGGGCAGGAAGGAGAGCAGACATTTTGGTGTGCTTCCAGCATCCCTCTGAGTTTAATCCCATCTAATCTAACCTCTTGGACATTCAAGGGGATAGGATTATAAATCTAGCACAAGACCATCCAGATAACTCCCTAAGTGATAACATTTTCAACATGGAGGGAAGGGTACTTACTTTTTTTGGTCTCATTAAACTATAATCAATGTATTCTCTCAAATCTCAAACTATGGGAGCCAATCATGGGTGGGGGACCCGCGGCCTTCTGATGTCAAGATTGTTCT